ATATATATATATATGAAGAGGATTCAAATGACATCGATATAACTTTTATTAAGTATTATATCACTCAATAATTTCATATTAATTGTGAATTTTATAAATTCAATTGTTAGATTGAAAGTTCTTTACTCTTAAATCATATATACAAAATTTTATATTAATCTAAGATGATTTAACATTTCATTCTTACAAAATAAAATTGACGTAATATATATATTTTAAAATATAATAAAATATGAATATTTTAATTACCTTTAAATTATTGTTCAATTTTAACAAAATTTGATATAAACATACAGTGATATAAAGTTATAATTCAACAGTTGAATTTATAAAATTCACATTTAATATAAAGTTATTGAATGGTGTAATACTTAGTAAAAGTTATACCAGTGTCATTTGAACTCCTCTCTCTCTCTTAATATATATTTATATTATGTCACATGTAAAGATTATGGTTTTTTCACTAAAATTTGTTGTTTAATTTTTTTAATCTTTTTAATATAAAAAATACTTTTTTTTTGAATTCTAACTAAAATTATATTAAAAGGGGGTATTTTATTTTATAATTAAATCCTTAATCTAAATTCTAAACCCTATTGTTTCCTTTAAAGTCACCACCATTCTCAAAGTAATCATTTTCTAATCCTTATACATTTTTCACTTTTTTTCTCCACTCTCTCACACAACTGGTTTCTTGAAGAAATTTCTTCTTGACATAATTTTTTTTCTTATTTTTTTGTTACTTATTTTCTCGGTATGTTTATTCTTAATCTTTTTATTCATTTTGTTTTCATCTTCATCTTCATCTTCATATTTATCTTACGTTAACATTTTTTCATGTATTTTCTCCTTTATGCAGCACACAGTTATACAAATAGGTTTGATTTTGATGGGTTTTAACGTTTATATTTTGCTTCATTACTAACATATAGTGTAAAATAATATGGTTTTTTTTTCTTATTTGATTTGGTCAATGAGTTTAAGGTATTCTATGTTTTTCTCAATTTCTTTGATAGAGTTTAATGATTCTTTATTTTAAAATTTTTATTTGGATATTTTATGGATTGATTGGTTTAATAAAAAAAATAAAAAATAAAAACTCCTATATTATTTTCCCTTATTGAAAAGCATATTTCTCCATCTCGACTTCATCCAATAACCATCTAACTATATAATAATTAAATAAAAAAATGCATGATAAACCTAATCTTTTAAACTTTAGCAAAGTGTTTATTTTGATAGTTAAATATGTTAATTATAAAATTTGGGTTTTTATGGATTGGTTTAATAAAAAAAATTTCTTCTACACTTTTTCCCTCATCAAAAAACATATTTCACCATCTTGACTCCCTCTAATAACCATCTAACTATATATGTAACAACATTGTTAATCAAAGAAAAAATGCATGATAAAGTAAATCCTTAAAACTTTGATAAAGTACCAGAAAAATGAGTGATTGCTATTTAATTATGAGATAATTAAATTTTAAATATGGTAGATTTAAAAATAATCATCAGAATATTTACCAGATTTGTAAAATTACCTAAAACTTTAACTAGAAGATAATTCTAATATAATTTTTAAATTTTTTCAAATTATCTAAAATTTTAAATATGTTAGTTACAAAAAAAATTAGAAAAATTATGATATTTATAAATCTTTTTTACTAGAAGATAATTCTATTATCAGAAAATTAAACCAATAAATTGAACTCTAAATCCTAGACCTTAAAATCCTAAACCCCAAAACTCCATATACCATAAAATCATAAATCCTAAATACTAAACTTTAACCCTTAAATATAAAACTATTGTTAACTTTAATTATCAAATTATATAAAAAAAATTAATTAAAAATCTTAAATATGTTAATTGCAAAAAAAAAAAAATTACAAAATTTGTAAACTTTTTTCACTAAAAGATAATTTACAATAATCACCTTTAAGTATTACATATTTAAGTAGTTTGGATGCATATAGTGAAAAGAATGTACACTCTGAATAAAATTAGAGTGTGCATTCTTCTCATAAGGAAGTATGAAGAAGGATGATGAAGTAATTATAGAAGGAAGAACTAAGGGATTTGCAATAATCACCTTCAAATATTACATATATAAGTAGCTTGGACGCATAAGCTAAAGAATGCACACTCTAATTTTATTCTTACAACTCTCGTTGTAAAAATATTCTTTCTACTTAATTGTTTATCATGTGTTGTGTAAAATGAACTTTATTAGTTTACCTTTAGCTTAAACTGTATGTTTTAACTTGAGACCTGAAAAAGTTGTGTTCAAATAATAATTGATTTATAAATCTTAAGTAAGCTTTCTTGTAAAAGATTATTTGAGTAATTTTTTTGGAATAGTAAGAAATAGACATATTTTCAATAGTTGAGATGAATTAATATAAAATTATTTGTATTCCTTGTTTTGTTTGTGCCCCTCAATTTGTCTGTTCAATTCGCTACTCAAGAAAAAGTGTTAAATTTTTCGTAAACACAATTCAACCTCCTTTTCTTGTGTCTGTCTTGACTTCACACTTTCAAATTCCTTTTTCCACCTTGCAAGGTTAATTCTTTGAATGTTCTCAAATCCCAACCCACGTGATGCAAGCAACTTACATGGAAGGTGGATGGAAAAACCAATATTTTCTTTTGTTGAAACATTGGCTTTATTAATTCAAATAATAACAACATAGTAGAACGACTCAAATTAGACAACATAGGGACTCAGATCCCTTGTAATGAATTAGTATACCTAAAAAGGAAAGAGAGAATAAAGGAAGATAAATCCCATAACTTGGATTTGACTAACCTATACTTAATTAAAGAGGTTTTATATTTCTGGCTTATTTAGGATAATAACATTTGAACACTCCTAATTTATCTCCCTAATTTGTTCATAACAATAAAATTTGAATATTCCTAGTCCACCTAGTAGTGAGAAAGTTGAAATAAATATATATGTCATATGAATCACGAATTGACCTAGTGAAAAGTTAAAATAAATGTATGAAGACTTAAGTTTGCTCCTCAATATTGTCATTATAATTCTTCCTATTCAAAAAAAAAATTAAAATTAAAGTTGTCATCTACAAAAACAATTGTATTATCTAAACGGTTTGTAAGTCTATAAACATATTAAACCTACACAAGCAACAAAGTGTGACCATTCAAGTTGGGCCAAACATAGTTCAAAATCCAGAAATCGGGTTTACAAATGCATTTAAGGTGCTGGCTGTCTAGAGTTGTTCCAACAGTTATCTGGTTTATACAGGCCAATTTGAGAACAGAATAAAATTCAGACATCACACAAAAGCTTCAAGAAATAGATTGTGCAACTATGACACGCATGATCAAAGAATGGAGCCAATAATGAACTTTCGCATTCAACCATTTGCCGTAGTTTTGCTCACATTTTAGTGAGACAAACAAAAAGTATGATTCAATCAGATTTAACTTAAAAATTCTTGTAATCAAAATATCTTGGACCCAAACCCAAAGTCTCCAAATCTCTCTCCTATGGTTGAACCAGACGTTCCCCAAACATACCCTTGAGTTTTTCATGCTGAACCATAATATCAAGAACTCTATCCTCAAACTTTACTCCAGAAATCTTGAGGTTATCACTTTCAGCATTTCTATTAGAGAAAACCAGTTCAGATAACCGGTTCTTTTCTGCTTGTTTACAATATTTTGTGCACTCAGGGGTGCCCTGTGCAAGAAGATGGTAAGTGTAAACAACCCTCTTTTGTCCGAGTCTATATGCTCGGCAAATAGCTTGCCTTTCCACTGAGGGGTTCCAAACAACATCAAGAAGAACGACTCTTGAAGCACCAATTAAGTTAATGCCTTCAGAAGATGCTTTTATAGAAGCAAGCAACACCTTTGCTTGGCTATTTGCATCATTGAAGCTATGAATGAGGGACTGTTTTTGCTTTTGGTCAAGCTTGCCATACATATACAACACTTCTGTTCCCACAGACCAATTAAAGGCTGACTCAAGTTGGTCCTTAATTAAGCTTAAGGTATCTATGAATTGGCTGAAAACAAGAACTTTTTCATTAACTGCATCACATAGTCTTATAAACTCTATCAAAAATTTGGTTTTGACCCCTACATAAGGGTTCAATCTAAGATTTTCCAACTTATCCTTGTCCACAACAGATTCTTCTTGTTTTGAGAGAGAGCAGTCAAGGAAAAGGGATGGATGGACTGAGACCAAGGCCAACTTGTGTTCAAAGTTCAGTACATTTTGAGAACATTCAATGCTCTCTAGAGTTTCTTGCTGCAAACTGTCTGGCTTCAAAACCAGAACACAATCTCTCAACCCAGGAAGGTTCTTCTGAAGAATGCTACCTTTATGAACATTAACAAATGGATTCATCAGCAACTTTAGCTGTTTTATTTTCTCATCAGCTGAATTTCCAGAACAATCAGGTTCCCAACTGAAATCTTTTGAAGACTTCTTTTCCTGCCTTAGTCTACTCTGGCAAAACTTCTTGAGTTTTTGTGGTATGCTGTCAGGAAAGGAAGGTTTCATCAAGCACAAAATATTGTAGAGTTCCACAAAATTGTTCTGGAAAGGAGTCCCCGAGAGAAGTATTCGCTTGTGAGATCTACTTTCGGAAAGAACCTTCCAAATACAACTTTGTTGATTCCGAGGCGTGTGCCCCTCATCAAGAACTAGCAAACCAGGATACTCACGCAAAACCTTTCCCATCTTTCCAATTGCAGTTTCAATTTTCTCCCTAGTCCTTGCACGTTTCTTCTCTTTTTTCTCCTTTCTATTTTTCTTCTCTTTCTCCATATCAACTTCAGACTTGCCTCCTGCTAGCTTCTCATACAAATTATAGCTGATTAACAGAATGCTCTTCTCTTTGTACCATGAACACAACTTTATCATCCGTATGGCATCCTTATTCTGCCTCTGATTGCCAAACCAGTCAATTTCATTAATGCCATGTTCTTTTCCTGATAAAACAGCATTGTTCATGTTATGGAATGGAATTCCAATATTCCACTTCCTCAACTCATCTTCCCAGGTAAGCAATATGTTGGAAGGAGCAATGATAACAGGTAGACACTTTGGAAACACTTGCAAATATGTCTGAAGAAACACCATGGTCAACTTTGTCTTTCCCGTTCCAGGAGCATGAGAAATAATACACCCACCTTCACGTTTCGCATCAACCTTCTTCAACTTGGCAAGGTTAGTGGTTCCTTCCAAATTTGTCCAAATAAACTCAAAACCTTCTTGTTGATGAGGATACAAGCTTTGTTTTATATCAGGAATAAGATCCCAAACTGTGCCATCATTGCGAGACAAATCTGCCTCTGACCTAGAGTCTTTACCAGAATCATCAAACAGATCCCCATGAAATTGTGAGGTGTTGTTCACTCCACCAGATGACACCCTTTTACCTGATCTTTTAGAATCAACCTGTACCATTCACAGTATAAACAAGGACACATGCATCAGTACTTCCTAATAAACGAATTTCATTAAGCTTGACAATCAAATCAGTATAAACATAAATTAGCAAAACATTAATTTAATCCCTATGGTTCCTGCAGCAGTGAATCACTGTTTTATTTTTATATAAGAAAAAAACTCAAATACTAAACAATAGTGAGCATCACTGTTCAATAGTGAATAATTCATATCAGCTTTTATGAGTGAGTTCATAAGTGAAAAGAAATTATGATTACGAGTGGCAAAGACAGACTCTCGTTAACATTCAAAACTAAGGAAATTACGTTTCTACAAATCATCTTCGAATTCAAACTCTACTTACAAATGGTGGCGTGATATATTTGATTTCAGTGGCAACCCAACCACACCATCTGCACTGTATCCCAATTTCCTCGTTAAAAATAAAATCATGCTTGCAATGCAAGGCTGAAGTTTCTTCATTTTCTCTTGCTTCATTTGTCCCTATATTACCAACCTGCAGTTTATAACATAAAAAATTAGTTACTGATTTCTTCTCTCATAAAAGTAACAATCTGTTTGAATATTTATCTATTCATGAAATTTTTCATAATACAACTCAAATATTCAAAATCTCGTGCTACCACTAGTATCCTTCTTAGAGTCTTATTGGATACAAGCTTGAGAGTTTTTCTACTGAAAAAAAAAAACTCCTATAAAGAAGCTCTTAAAAAAGCTTTTAAGCATGTATTCAAGCAGACTCAATTAAGCACTAAGCAGACTTAATTAAGCACTAAGAAGACTTAATTAAGTCCTACGTTACTCACATATGCACATAAAAATATGAAAATAATAAATAACTGTTCTTAATTTCTAATGACTATAACTGAAATTGTATAACATTAATATATTTTTCTTCGGCCTTTCAGCTAGTAAAAGGAGATTTACCTGGGACCCAATTTCTTCACCTCGAATCACCATATCCAATTCATCCCACAACTTTTCTAACTCCTTCTCAGACTCTGATTTTTCAATCGGTTCTTCCTTGGTAGAGTTCCAATTTAATGGGATTACCTCACTACAAGCTAATGGTTGACTCTGACCCTCATGACCAACATCACTATCCTTTTCTTCCAACACATGTGAACCATCTTTATCTGAATCATGCTTACCCCAAAAGCACTCAGTAAAGAATTCAAAACCTTGGACCTTTCTTCTAGATGGCATCCTTAGGACTTCATGATATTTGTCACGAATTTCATCATCCACCACACTTACCTTCTCCCGATCATTGCTATTAAACCAATCTTCCCGCGGCTGTGGCTTTCCCCTCTTGACATCCTTGATTACAACTCTAGCTGAATCCCCTGTCTTCCCTTGGCTTTCTGGCAATACAGAAACACTTCTCATGCATGTTTCTTTGTGGTGACGATGCTCTTTCCCTTCGTTGTCAAGATTCACAGAGTCATTAGCATGGTCACTATGATGAGCTCTATATCTTTTCTTATCTTCTATTGTTTTAGCTTCAGATGTCATAGAACAACCTGAAAATTCCCAGTGATCACCAAAGACTTTTGCACCAGCATTGACAGTTTCTACTCTCTTTGCTTCATCCTTAGAAATCTCAGATTTACTAGAGGTCGCACTAGCACAATCAGCACCCATAAATTGTTCCTCCAACTCCTCTCCCTGTTCATTATCTTTCCTTTCACCTTTCCTTCTTCTCCAGACACCTCTCCTTGTCACTATGATGAGCTCTATATCTTTTCTTATCTTCTATTGTTTTAGCTTCAGATGTCATAGAACAACCTGAAAATTCCCAGTGATCACCAAAGACTTTTGCACCAGCATTGACAGTTTCTACTCTCTTTGCTTCATCCTTAGAAATCTCAGATTTACTAGAGGTCGCACTAGCACAATCAGCACCCATAAATTGTTCCTCCAACTCCTCTCCCTGTTCATTATCTTTCCTTTCACCTTTCCTTCTTCTCCAGACACCTCTCCTTTCAGCTTCACTCTCCAACTTTCTCACCCGCTCCTTCACTATCTTCCTGCATCGCCCCCTATGATCCTCACACCAAGAATCATTATCCTCACCGCTCGAGTATTCATTCTTATCATCAACCTGAAAATCTTCATCACTAGTTTCACCATCCTCACTCTCCGTTTGAGACAAAAGAAAATCATACCCATCATCATCTAAACTACTTCCTGCCACGCCATCTTCTTCATCCTCCTCCTCTTCTTCTTCACTCGTACTATCCCCATCAACCGTCAATAAAATAGGGTCTTCAGGTCCACCACTACCTCGGTGATCACCAAAGTTCTCAACTTTATCAGCAAACACAGAACACCCTTTACTCTCCTGGCTCCCCCCTTCTTCACTAACCTCAACTCTCTTCTCGGAAGGCCTCAACCCCTCTTCATCACCACTTCCATCATCATCACTGTCATCGATTTCAATAGGCTCCTCCACATTCTCTCCCAAAAATTCAGATACCCTTTCACCCTTGAAAGAACTATGTGATGAAGATGAAGCGCCACGCCCAGAATCAACTTTCCCACTTGCACCCCCTTCACCTTCTAATTTTACTTCAACAAAAACCACGTCGTCGTCATCATCATGATGTTCATCCACCCTTTTCCTCTTCCGACTCGTTATCAAATCACTCCTAACCACACTTTCCTTCTTGTAGCTACGCGTCCTGAAGGCCACAGGAAGCCCCTGCTGATACATTTCAAACAACAACAACAACTACTAAGGCAATGCAAAACAAAACGACACCTTTTCTTGTTCTTTTTTTCTCAACTCTCAAACGCATGCAACCCACAACGCAAGATCGTTCCTTTTTCCTCTCCAGTGTGATAAGTGATGATGGGTAAGTTAAAAGGAGAAAAAGACCGAGAAAAAGAATGCAAAAAGTGCTGAGAAATATTAAGGGGTAGCAAAGAATGGTGTTCCAAGCTACGTAAATGTGGCGCCAACAACGAAGGCGAATTGACCTCTGAAGACCATGTTTTGTTTGGCATGCAACCAAAATCAGAACAGAGTAAATCAAAATGGTCAAATGGTCTTCACGATTTTCACGCAACACAGATGCTGACATCAAGACATCATAAATGCAGTACAAAAAAACCAATGTATATTGCCAAAAAAAAATCAAAAATTAGTTTTGGTTTTTGATATCATTGATAAAACTCTGCAAAATCAGCGCAATTTAATCCTCGTCACATCACATGTAACGTGATTTGCTCTCTCAAGATAATGGTGTAGAGAGATAATCATTGCTAGAATCTCGAGGGGCGAATAGGTGATGTTGTATTTGTATTCTCAATTGTGGAAAGTATTTGTACTACTCACTTTCATATTTATACGTATACTAATTTTAATTCTTATTTTCATATTTACTGATTTTTTTTCTTAATAAGTAGTGACTAAATTTTATGCCAAGAATATCTCTTAATATAATCTATTTTATACTCATTCCTAAACAATTTACTTAAAGAATATAAACAAATATCACTTATGTTAACTTAATGTTGGTATTGATATTTATACACTTATGCCTCATTTATTATTTTAATTTTATTTAAGTATAAAATTATCAAGTAATATCTATAATTTATACCTATTGTAAGAGAAATATCTTATTTTGTACACAATTTTTAAATTATTCTATCCTTAAAAATTTAAATATTTCTAATTAAAAATTAATTCATCTCAAGACTTGAATTCAAAATCTTGAGTTTTGAAGACTTTACACAATATTAGTCAATTCAATAAATATTAATAATTTTTAAATGTTTTTAAATAAATATAGAAATATAAAATGTTTTGACCTCACTAATAATATATAAAGGGAATTCATCATTTTTGTATACACAAATTTTAAGACATTCTTATTCTTTATTTATTATGATAATTATATAATTCTTTTTTAAAAAAATAATAACTCAATAATTTCACTTAATTATTTTAAATAAAAATTATTATTTTTCAAAAATAAACAGTAAGATAATGGCTTTGTAACTTCCACATCTTACAATACTAATAAAATGCAAAATGTCTTTTTTTACTAATTAACTAATTATAACAATGATATAATTAAATTGAAAAATATTATTAAATAATCCAAATGTAATTATATAATATGAGTAATTTAATCACTAAGTATAATTATTTTTTAATATAATATTTTAATTTTTACATTTAATTAATGGTATATATATATGTGTGAGATATTTTAATTAAATATTTATATATGAACACAAATGAAGCGGGATATCAAGTCCTGTACTATTCATACTCACTTATCTCTACCAAAAAAAAAAAAAAAAAAAAAAAAAAAAAAAAACTGTACCAAAAAAATACTCACACTTACTAATGTTTATTAAATTTCAAATTTCAAATAAATTCTCCAGAAACAAGTAAATTTATACCTGACTAATGCAGATAGTTTTTATTGAGTATCCATTGGATACGGGTAAAATTGTTATTTTGAAATAAGATAACATTTTGATTCTATTTTTTGTTTTAAAATAATTATTTTTTAAAATTTAATAGATTTTAGTTGAGATATTGGCTGATGAGAGATATGAATTTGTTTAGAAAATAGAGTTTAAAATCAAGAGCTTAAATCTAAGGTGCACCTTGATTGGTTTTACCAAATCCAACCGCATTCGGTTTGGTTTAGATCATTTCATTGAACTTATTATTAAAAAAATAAAATAAATAAATAATATTAGACAATTTATAAAGTATATTAATTTTTATATATGATCACTAATTTGTGAAAAATACTTTTAGGAGAAGTTTGTTACATGAAAAGTTTTATTATTATGAAAATTTGACATTGGGAGTTTGATCTGTTAGAAATCATTATTTATGGTGTTTAGTTTTCTGTTTTTACTTATTAAAAATCATTATTTTACGAGAAATATTTTTTGCATAGTATTTTGCACATAAATATTTTCATGAAGAGGTGGAAAATTGACTTTTTCAGGATAGAAAAAAAAAACTAATGCAACAAAAATGTTATATTATTTTTATTTGTTGCAATAAAAATTTTTGAATTCATATAACATTTAAAAATTCTCATAAACATTAATGATCAACTAAACAATTTTCATGATTTCTAGGAATCATAAATCACACACAAGATTTATGATTCTCAAACATAAAAATATGTATCAAATGCTCTCTTGAGAATTATTTTTTTTGACGAAAGAATTTTTAAGAATTTATTAATTTTTTATCTAATTCGTTTGTTATTTATCATAATTATTTATAAATTAACTTAATTTTTTAAAATAAACTATTAATGAATAAAAAAATATTCTACAATATAAATTCTTTATCATAAATCTAAAATATAATTTATGTTTAAAATATTTATTTATGAAACTTTTAAATATAATTTATATACTCAAATGTATAATATATATATATATATATATATACTATAAATTTTAGTTATATATAATAAACATTTAGTTCCTTGTTAGGTCTCTTAGTTTCCAAAATAAAACTAATGTTGCTCCATCAATAATGTCATTCAAAGTTAAATAGAAAATGCATGAGTGATACTATTTACAATTAGTTAATCACATAGAAAAGTAGTAGTATTAAAATCAATATCTATTATAAAGGAGATAAAGTTATGTAACTATTTTTATTATCTATTTTTTAATGGACCTTTACATCCCAAATTGTTAAGAAAGAAAAATAAAACAACCTCTCATGTTCTTTAAATGACTACCAATGACTATTTATTCAATTAATTTTTATTTTTATTTTTATTTTTTTAAAAATTAAGAGACAAAAAGTGTCTTTTCTCCCTAATAATAATAATAACTTAAATATATTTTTATTTTATGTAAAATGAGCAAGTTTTAATTTTAGTTCTTCTAAAAAAAATCTCTTTATTTTTCATCATTTTCAAATTTTTAAACATTGTTTTTAGTTCTTGAAACCCATTTAAGCCTAATAATAATAATAATAATAATAAAAATAATAATAATAGTATTCATTTAATTTGATGAATCAGTTTGATTGGATTCTTGGAAATTCAAACTGAAATTCGAACCATCTGATAATTTGAAAAATCTAATTTTTTCTTGCGATTTGATTCTTATAATTTCATATATGTGTAATTATAGACTCTCAAAAAATTTTATTATAAATTTGGTCTTAGTTTTCAAAATTAAGTAATGTTGGTTCATCAATAATGTCATTTAATGTTAAATAGAAAATGTTGATAAATGTTTGTGAGTGATATTTCATTCAATATTAAATAAAATTTTCTATTTAATTTGGATGACATATTAATAATGAAAAAAAACTGCTTAATTTTAAAAATTATAGGATCAAAATTGAAATAAATTTTTTGAAGAATAGCATTATATATTTGTAAAATTATAAAGACTAAAAATAAGTTTAAGTCAAATAAAAAAAATGTAAAAGAAAATGAAACACACCTTAATTTTTTATTTTTTGGTTTTACGTTGCAAAAGTCTTGTTTGCAATTAGTTGCATTTAATATATATAAA